GTGCAGAGCCCGAAGCAGCAGTTGAGCGCGCCCTCCCTGCGCGGCCGCATTGCTCCAGGGCGGAGCCAAGGTGAGTGGGTCTCTGGGTCCCCGGTTGGCTGGGGGTGCATGGACAGCGCTCACACACCGACCAAGCCCGCTGCAGGCCTGGGCCTCCCGCCTCCCGCGGTTGGCAGGGAGCCACGCGTGACTGCCACCGGCAGTAGAGTGGAGCTCAGGGCCCTGGGCCTCGGCCGCCAGCATCCCGCCCTGCAGGCGCAGGTGCACGCCCAGACCTGGTCTGTCCCCGCCCATGCTTCTGGCTGGCCTGCTGCGGGTAGGAACACAGGTGAGTGACCCTCCTGGGAGAGAAGCTTTCAGATTGGCTGGAAAGATTCAGGGCCCCGCATCCCCAACCAGCAGGGTGTGCGGCCACCATCCTGTGCGACTGAGTGAACCCCAGGGCCACAAAGACGAAGGGCGCAGTGTGTACCCTCAAAGAGGTCACAGCCTGAGGCAACGACAGCCAGAAACGTGTGATGACAACCCAGAATGGGAGGCCAATAACCACATGGAGAGAGTGCTGGGGAAAACAGAAACTGTTGCTTTTAAAAACCTAAAGAGCCCCTGAACATCAGCAGTTCTTCTTGGTCCTAGGAGATCTCAGCACGCAGGGGAGAGGGGTCGTGAGTGTGCGTGAACGAGCCCTCCTGTGGACAGATGTGCCTGGCTACCCGTGCCAAAGCAGCCACACTGCCCTCTGAGGGTGCGCCCCGACCGCACCAGGCACCCAGGGACCCCCAGCGCTCACTGTTCCTTGCCTGCTGAGTCCGCACACCTCCTGGGAAGTGCCAGCTGCCAGGCAGAACACCCTGGCCGGACAGGCCTCAGGCTGCTCCCCAGGGCTCACAAGGGCTGCTGCAGCGCGCCGAATAGGGTCCCCAGGGCCAGCACACCCCAGGGGGTGACCCAGCAATGGGAAAGTGTGCCGGTGGTCCTCGGTGGGGCCACTGCTGAGGGCTACGTCTGTCCCAGCCTTGAGCCCCAAGCCTTCTCGCCTCCCACCCACCCGGCCTCCTGCCCCTGAACATCGCCACCCAGGCACTCGGCTGGCCTGTGTCCTCCTCTGGCTGGGCCAGGTCCAAGGGCTCAGTTGTTACTCCAGGGCCGCCCAGGACAGAACTGTCAGCTCCTTGGGGTTGGCTGCATGTGTCAGCAGCTTCAGGGCACCGGGATACTCAGCCATTCCCAGCCTTGAGGTCACTACAAGGACATCGCCCACGAGATTAGCGGTCAAGCCCGATGCCTCCAGGAAGTAGGCTGCCCTCTGGGGGGCTCATCTCATCAGTCGAAGGCCCTGAGAAAACAGAGTGAGGCCTCGGAGGAGGAGGTTCAGGCCACAGCCTCAGCTCCTACTGGGTCGGCAACCTGCCCTGCTCACCCCAGCGGGGGCCTGCAGCCTGTACTCTCACAGAGGGCTCAGCGGTATACCTCCCCATCAGAACAGTGAGATTTCATGTTTGCTGCAGGAAACCTGCAGACAGTGCTGCCGAGCCTGGTCGGGTACCCACCATGTCCAGCCCCTTCTGAGCACCAACCCCACCTGTCCATAGCAGGCTAGGTCAGAGCTCTGCTGTTCCCTGTTTACACATAAGGCACAGACAGGTCAGCAGCTTGGCCAAGGCAACCCCATGCACGCAGGGCCAAGGGGCAGGCTCAGATGTGTGGGAAGAGGCTTGGAAACCGAGTGTTGGCCTGGGGACTTTGTCCTGTCTTGGTTGGAATGGCACTTGCGAAGTTCTGGGCAGCCCAGGTCACTAGGTTGGGCCCCGCTCCGCCCTGCCCAGGGGCCCAGGGACAGTGTCTTTCTCCTCCCCCAGTCCAGGCTGGAGGAGGCGGGTGCTGTCTGTCACGTTGCACCTGGACAGGGCCGCCGCCACTTAGCAACCATTCCGGTTGACCGGCTGCGGGAGAGGGTGAGAAACAGGAGCTGGCGGGTGGGCAGGGCCAGGTCAGAGCCAGCTTTCCAGAGGGCAGCTGGCTGGGGGTGGGCAGGGCCGCCAGGGGAGGTGGAGCCGTGGGAAGGCAGGCACCCGTTTCCTGCCCTTCGTGACAGAGGGCGTGCTGGGGTGGGGCAGGGACACCTGGAAAGGCAGCCCAGGTCCTGAGCCCCAGGCTGGCACTGGGTCTGGTGCCCACAAGGCTGGTGCTCAGGTCCTCTTGGGGTGACGCTCCAGCTGGAAGAGCCCGGGCCAGCACTTGCCATGCATGATGGCCGCAGGGAGTGGGGAGGACCAGGCTCCTGCAGAACGGCCCAGCACTGGCAGGACTGGCGCGGACGAAGGCCCCTGTGCATGGATGCCCAGGACTGTGACAGCACCACCACTGAGGGGGGCGGGGGAACAAGGGCACCAGGACTTTGCTTCGTGCTGGACTCAGGAGGGGCCTGGAATCCACATTGGCGCGAAGAGGATCGGTGGGTGAGGGGCTCAGGTTGGGGCGCCATGCCACGGTTCTCATTCACAGAGGGTCTCGCTACACTTCATGCATGAAACTCGTAACTGAATAGATCCTGTTTCTGCCTGAGTACAAAAGGATTGTGTCCACTTTAGAAAATACAGGAAATAAAGTCTTTTTTTTCATTTTTTAAAGTTACACAGAATTGCAACACACCGTATCATTTGGAACACATTTTTCACCCAAACCTAATTTTTCTAATCCTGCCACATAGCTTGTAATACTGGGTGAAAATTTCCCAGGATGTGTATTTCAAAATTTAATTGGATTTTCTTGGCAATGTTTGATTCTCATAAATGATGTGGCAAAGAAGCACAGACAAATCTTCTCACAACTGACTGTTCCTCTCGGTTAATTTCCCGGAGGTGGGGTTAGAGGCTGGAGTGCGGCTGTTCTCAGTTTCTGAGCCGTGTACACACTGTGCACAGCCGCAGTGGCAGGGACCCGTGCCCGGCAAGTGCAGGCTCACCCTAGGTCCTTCTGCTCGGCGCTGTGCGTCCGGAGGAGGGTGAGACCCTCGCCTTCAAGACCGTCGGCCTGGCCTGGGGGCGAGCTGCCCTCTCTGGCCTGGTGTGGCAGCCACGGTGTCCGAAGCCCACTTCCCTAGGTGCCAATGCACCGCGGATCCCCTCTCACCCAGAAAGAATGGCCGTCATCAAGAAATCAAACAGTAACAAGTGCTGGCGAGGCAGGGAGGGGGAAGGAGCCCTTCTATTGTCGGTGGGAGTGTAAACTGGTACAACCACTGCGGAAATCAGTGTGGAGAATCCCAAAAAACTAAACTTGAAAATTCCATTTGACTCAGCTATTTCCCTCCTAGACATCTTCCCAAAAGAGCTAAAGTCATCACTTCACAGTGATCCATGCATGCCCATGTTTACAGCAGCACAGCTCACAATAGCTAAATCTGGGTAGCAGCCTGTTATTCATCAGCAGATGAATGGATAAAGAAAATGTAGTATTTACACACGATGGAGTACTGCTCTGCCATAAAGAAGGATAAACTAGGAAAATGGATGCACCTTGCACCATAATGTTAAATGAAATAAGTCAGGCACACACAGCTTAAATATCAAATGGTTTCTCTTATATGAGAAACCCAAAGCAAAAATAAAGAGCAAAATGAAAGGTAAGTGATAGGCAAGGGGGATAGATCTTTTGTAAAAAGGATAGGGGAGGGAGAGGGCACGGAGCAGATGGGGACAGGGGGACCCAAGCTGTGTCGTGTCCACGCACCAAGTCCCATGATGAATGTGATCTCTGCTCTGGAGTTGGGCTCGGTGGAATAAAAAGCAGAAAAAAGAAACACGTCCCGGGCCGCTCAGTGGGACCCACATGGTAGCCATGGGCAGGCGGAGCTGTGCGCTGTGCTGAGCGGAGGGGCTGTCGAGGGACTGTCCCCCAGGCTCTGGACATGTTTCAGGCCTGTTCACCATGTCCACCTGGCTGAGGACTCTGCTGTCCCCACGTCCTGGGGAGAGAGGAGGAGGGAGCCTGGTGCCCGGAGCCCCCAGGGTAGGGTCCCCCTTCTGCAGTCCCCAAGGCTGGACGCTTGGGCCACCAGCCCCTCTGCTTGTGTCGAAAGGGCCCCACTTCCAAATCACGGAACCCTCAACAGGAGCTGGGGCTGGGCGCAGCGAGTCCCGGAGGGGCGACGCCCCACCGCAGGTGGCCTGCGGGACAGGCTTTCCGGAGGACAGTCGGTGGACCTGGGAGTGGGGCCCCTGAACCTGCCTCCTGGGCCCGTGCACTCACTGACCCCTGCGGTGTGGCTTTGGGAGGGTGGGGGTTCCTGCATGATGTGGTTGTCCTGTCATGTGGGAGGGGCCCCCGGGGCGGCCACGGCCCCCAGCTGTCAGCGTCAGTGCCTGGAGGCCAGGCTATCAAAGAGACCAGCGTGTCCAAGAACCAGCTGCCTGGGCCGGGGATTTAGCTCAGTGGTTCCGCTGCCTACCGCGCAAGCACAAGGACCCAAGTTTGATCCCCGGTACCAAAAAAAAAAAAAAAAGTCTATGGAAAGAACCAGCTGCCCCACTGCTCTGCCCTGGCCCTCAGCACCCCAGGGCTCTCCAAGAAGCTTAGGGTTAGAGTTAGGTGTTCTAAGGAGGGAGGCGGAGGGACCAGGGTCTGCCCTGGGGGACAGGAGGAGGGAACAGGGCCTGTCTAGGGCACAAGAGGGACCCAGGCTGGGGGGTCAGGGTCTGCCCACCCGGGGGACGATGCTGAGCTGAGGGGAGGTATCAGAGCCAAGGCAGAAACACATTTGCCCATGTTCTGAGCTCAGACCACTGTTCTGGGCTGAAGGCAGCCAGGGGCCTGGGGGGACTCCCACCCTCGCCCCTGCCCTGGAGTGGGGTTGGTGCCAAGCAGAGGGACTTCTGGTCCCCCATGCCTGGGGGCCAGGAGGGTGACCTGGAGCACAGGGCTCTGATAGGGACTCTGCCTGGTGAGATGCTGCCAACCCAAGGGCTCTGCAGGAAGGGCGGCCACCCAGCAGGACAGGGAGGGCCGAGCTGGGGTCCAAGGTGAGGGCCACTGACCAGGCATGGAGGCCCCAACATCACATAGGGTGGCCTGGGCCACCCCCACCAGAACTCCACAGATGCCCACCAGGGGCTGCACCGCCTCACCCAGACAGGATGTCCACATGTGTGTGCACACGTGTTTGTGTATGCCTGTGCGTGCATGTGCAGAGAAGCTGGTCTGGGAGGACTGGAGAACAGCTCTGTCTTCCTGTAGTCCTGCTGTCCCTCCAGCCATGGCTGGGTTGGGTGACAGAAGGGACGGTGCCGGGGGAGGAGCCGGGACTGACACGTGGTGAGTGGAACAGGACCGAGGTCATTTTGATGACCCCAGAGAGCAGATGCCCTTGTCCAGGGTGAGGGAGGACAGCATGGTCCCCTCTGTGGCAGGGACAGAGGGTTGAGTCCCCAGGCTTCACAGCATCCTGGGGAAGAGGGGCAGAGAGCAGTGGGAGAAACAGGGCAGCATCCCCAGGCCTTCCTCACCCAGACCCCACTGCCCGGTGTAGGAGCTCATGATGGCGTGAGGACCATTGCTGAACCGGGAAGAGCCTGGGTCCCTCACAGGCAGGCCAGGGCCCACGGCTGCTGGTGTCCACAGCTACCCTGATCCCTCAGCTGTGCCTGCAGGCCAGCTGGGACCTCTGCAGATGGGGACAAGGACACTGTGCCACAGGAGTTAGGACTCAAACTAGAAGAGCGGGAAGCCTTGTGGGAGGCAAACTCAGGATGCCCATGGGTCCCTGGATGGGGCGCTGGCACTGGGCTGAGAGAAGCAGCTGCTTCCTGCTTTGGAACAAAGCTCAGGAAGGTCGAGGCACAGGGCACTCAGCCAGCCTGTACCCCCAGCCTGGCTGGCCTCGCCTGCGGCTCAGGTGCAGAGCAGCAGGTATGCACGGCCACTCTGTGCTCCAGGATCGGCGCCCTGCGCTTGGCTTCATGACAATGAACTTGGGGTCTCAAGCCCTGTGTTAGGCGAGGCCTCCTGAAGGTCCCTGGGAGCCCTGTGCTCCTCCCCGGGCACCGGAGCAGCAGTGCAGCTCCACACACAGCTGGAGGCCCGGGCAGGGACATTCGCTCTGTGCTCCGGGGTGGGGTGCCCAAGAGGACAGAGGCCTGGAGCATCCACCGGGAGCCTGTGCCGGCGGGTGCTTAGCACTGGAGCCCAACCGAGGCACGGCAGGCAGGGCAGTAAGGCTGCAGCATGGCACTCTCCTGCCGCTCCGAAGCTGTGGCTGTCCAGGCACATGGAAAAGGGGACACGGGATTGAGTTGGGGATCCTGGGGGCCCGGTGTCCTCAGGTCCTTCTACACGGGGCAGGAGGCTCAGGGCAGGGGAAAAGAGGAGTCGGGCAGGGACGGGGAAGGGGCAGGGACGGGTCCTCCAGAGCCGCCAGGAGGATCCCGCGCAGCCGGGCTCTGCCACTCCAGGAGCAGAACTTGACCCCACTGCAGGCTCGGGAAGGCCCGGACAGGCAGAGGTCAGCATCAGAGTCCCAGAGCCTGGGAAGGGCCAGCAGGTGCTCGCACGACCCCACAGCACGGGAGGCCCCCCTTCTGTCCCCACAGAACAGCGGACACGAATGCCATCCCCTCCCTAGGAAAGGGAGCAGGCGGAGCCACAGTGCACTTGTCCGGACACGGGCATGCGGCCCACCTGTCTGACACTGACTCGCGTCCAGCCCAGGGGAGCAGAGTGCTGGAGCCAGTGCGGGCTCCGAGGGGTGATGCTCGGTCGCGTCTTCCTGCGGCACAGTGCACACCGTTAGCCCTTAGGAGGGGTCACGCTTCAGACCCTGACACCCTCTGGCCAGCAGATATCCCGCCCTGTCTGCAGGGGGGAAGGGACTTCTCCCTGCGGTGGGAAAACCAGGAGACAGCAGCTGGCACTGTGGCCTGCAAGACAATGGGCAGCTTCCTCGAATTCTGGTGTTCTGGCTGCCTGCCTTGGAAAACAACTGTCCCCGTGCCCCTGGATGACTTCCCCACCTCACCACAGGGACAAAGAGCACTGTGTTCTCAAGACAGGGCAGTCCCCAGAGAGAGGAAGCTGAGCGGGCGAGGTGTGCAGGAAGCCAGGAGAACACGCTGCCTGGATAAGGGACACACGGACGTCACCCCGCTTCTAGAGGTTCTTGACGAGGGCTCCAGATGGCGGGAAGTGTGTGGCTGACACTCCCGGCCCTGGTGTGGGAGCCGTGCTGCAGGTCCCTGAGCGCCAAGGACGCTGCAGAGAACTTGTGGGCTTTCAAACGGGGCTCCTGCAGCGGCACTGGCTCTCACTTCCAAGGTCCATGCACTAACATTCGTAGTTCCCGCCAGGCAGGCTGGGGGGTGACTCCCCCCTGAAGGACCTGCAAGACAACACACAGTGCCCCTGCGCCTCGCCCAGGGCTGGGCTCCAGAGGGCACTGTGGCCTTGGTCTTTGGTGGCCCCGAGGGGCTGAGCTCCAGAGGGACGTCTTCTTGGACCTCCAGGAGCCCTCAGCAGGGGATGGCAGAGGTAGGAAATGTGGGCAGCATTTCCCAAAAGCACAGGGCCCCGAGGGTCTGCAGAAAGGGAGGCTGGAAGCTCTGCAACCCGGGGGGCCTGAGGAGCCACAGGGTGGAGGAGAGGATGGCC